ACGGTTGGGTCTCTGGCCACTGGCTGCCAGACGCTGGCTATTTTTAGGCAAATGAGACTTGCCTGTGGCTACGGTAAGCTTCCCAGAGGAAGGGGGTATTGGAGTGGCTGTTCTCAAAGGGATTTCAGGAGCCAAATGTTTCCTCAAGTGATAAGGCAAGCCAGCGTGTTTGCCAGCGCTCTTCCAATAAATGAGCTTGGCTGCGTTACAAAACACTCGGGTTTTTCGGTTCGGAGCAACTGTGGCCTTGGCTATCGTGGTATGTCTCTGCGCTTCCCTTGTGCCATGCGGTTTGTGGGAATGCTCCAGAATGTTTGGATTTTGTCACTGCCCTTTGTCTTCCCAATCTGATGGTGCTCTGGCTTTCCTTACAGAGATAAAAATTGCTCAACTCTTCATATCACTTAGAGGCCAGACCTCTAGGTCCAATGTGACATGAATTTTTTTTTGAGGAAACAACTGCAGTCTGGTATGAAATGTGACTCCTGAATCTCTTCTGAGCTTTCTGTTGTTTCTTAGAACTTCACTGAGTCACAAATTAAAATCAGGAAGAAATTCTTTCCAGTGAGGGTGGTGAAACCCTGGCAGGGGTTGCCCAGAGAGGGGGTGGAGGCCCCATCCCTGGGAACATTCAAGACCAGGTTGGATGGGGCTGTGAGCAACCTGATGTGGTTAAAGGTGTCCCTGCTCCTGCAGGGGGGTTGGGCTGGGTGACCTCTAGGGGTCCCTTCCCACCCAAAACATTCTATGATTCTATGATAAATTTGTGAAACCGATTGACCACGCTTTTTTCTTCGTTTGTTTGTGAGTGAATTACTACTGAATTATAGTGCAGAGAATGTACAACTAGGAATTGCTAAGAAAGCTGGAGGTCTCCCAGGAACATCTGTCTCCTTTTTTTACAGCTTCCAAAAGTGAGCTTTATGGGAGGTGTCTTGAAATAAGCCTCAGCTTCTGGCTGGTGCTGTGAGGATAGGAACTATCTGAGTTCTTTCATGGGGATAATCTCTCTGTTCTTCCTCCAGGCTGTGAAGCTCACCAGCTCACGAACCCAGCTGCCATACGAGTACTACTCGTTGCCCTTCTGCCAGCCCACCAAGATAACGTACAAGGCTGAGAACCTCGGTAGGTGTCAGCTGAACAGCGCGTTCCCCAGCAGTAAGTGGGCTGCCACTCATGAGCTGTGCCGGGGTGTGTTGACAGCAGTAAAAGCAAATGCAAATGTCATCTGTAATAAACTGTTTGTGGAGCGCCTGCTTCCTCTCATTTGTCACATGCTGTCTGTTTGCAAACTAGGATGTCCCTGAAGGGGGGGGGCATGTAACCTGCTTCATGAGGAGCTTGATACTTCCAACAAAATAACTAAACTGTCTTTCGATCTTATCCTTGCATCTGCAGTGACAAAGGAGACTTGCTGTCATCATTCCAGCTGTACAGCGCGCTGCCAACCCAGCGGCAGGATCAGTGGCGAGAAGCCTGGCACTCTTTCACCCTGCCCTTATTTTCCTGTTTTCCAGGTGAGGTTCTTCGGGGGGACCGAATTGTAAATACGCCTTTCCAGGTTTCCATGAACATGGAGAAGAAATGTGAAGTGCTGTGCAACTTTCCTAATAAGCCGGTTGTTCTGACAGTGGAGCAGAGCAAGCTGATCGCCGAGCGGATCAGGGAAGATTACTATGTCCATCTGTGAGTCATCTCGAGCGTGGGTTGGGTCAAGGGGGATTCTGTGTTGTGGACAAATTTGATTTGAAATCTTGTGTTTTCAGCATTGCTGATAACCTCCCTGTGGCAACACGGCTGGAGTTTTATTCCAATCGTGAGGAAGAGGAGAAGAAGAAGGAGAAGGATGTGCAGTTCGAGCATGGATACAGGCTTGGGTTTATGGATGGTAACAAGGTAGAGAATCCAGGTGCTGTCCAAGGGGTGCCCGGAGGGGCTCTGGGTGTCTGTCAGAGGGTGTTGGAAGTCTACGAAAGAGTATCAGGATTGGGAATGCAACCAAAAGGTTTTATAAAGAGCAGACACACGAGAGAGAAGGTTCTTACTGGAAGAAGGGGGTGGGTGCTGGCCTGCTGGTACAATAGCCAGGTGTCCTAGCTTTGACCGCTGTATAACGTTGGACAACCGCATGCCATGGTTTCCCCTCCGTAGAACAAAGGCAAAGGGAACAAAGTGGAGGAAAAGCCGCCTAGGTCTGCAAATGGAAACTTAGCATGTGTGTTCCTGCAGGTATTTTCCATGATCGCGTGCACTCAGATTAGCTGTTTGACTTACCGGGTGCATCTGTTTATGGTACTCAAGTGTTCGGTTGCAGACGCAGCTCTGCTCGCTTGAGCCTGAGTTCTTACGGGTGAACAAACCTGCTGTGCCAGCTTGGGGTCGCCGTACTTTGTTGATGTAACCGGTGATGTAAGAGCCTTTTGAAAGTGCAAGCTTGGGGCCCCCACGGCGTCTGGGTAGCGTATGCCTGCCCAGTAGAAGCAGCAGGCGGGAAGCTCAGGGTTGTAGCTACTGAGGTCTTCCCAACCTAAATTTGGTGATTCTGCTGCCACCGAACGCATGGTTGAGGTGTGAGATGCAATGATATCCTCCAGGCCACAAACAGACCAAAACGTTGTCCCTGATGCCTGGAGTGGTTGAGGTGTTGCCTTTTCAACATCTCTGTCCTCTCCTCTTGTTCTTTTAGCCTTGGAAAGCGTTAACCTGATCTTGCTCTTCAGTACGATGCATCTGGGAACAGTTGGAGTCTTTAGTTCTCTGCGCTGAAGCTGCTTTCTACAGTTGTTGCTTCTAAACGCTGCCTGTTCCTCCCTTGGGGTGCTAACGTTTTATTTAATGTCAATCTGTTTTAGTTCTACCTGCACAACCACCTCTCCTTCATCCTTTACTACCACAGAGAGGATGTGGAAGAGAACCAGGAACCCACCTACAGGGTTGTGCGCTTTGAAGTGATTCCCCAAAGCATTAAACTAGAAGGTGAGAGACTCTTAGGGGGGAGCAAAGGAGAAGAATCTCTTGTAGGGCCAAGAGCTGAATGCCACTGATGGATCAGGGTGCCGGTTCTTGCTTCCATTATGGTCTCGGGGCGCAGAAGTGAGGAAGTCTGAATTATAAGAACAATAAACCCCTTTGTAATTCAGGGATTACCAAAAATAGAGAGAAATGCAATCCGTGGAAAATGAATTCCTATTAAAAGGTTGGAGTTTAGGGTTTGGGGGTTGGGTTTTTTTGCGCTGTGTCATCTAGCATAAAGTGTGGATGGCTTCTAGCTCTTACTGTGGCCCAGATCGCCCCCACTGGGACACTAGGTGCTAGTCCAGAGCCCTGCAGAAAGTTTGCAACTGTTCTAGGGGAACTGGATGTTAAAAGTAATGGTTAGGGGGGAAAAAAATGCCTTATCTCAGTGATCCCAACATGAAATGGGTGTCTTGATGAGAATTTGCTCATCGTGTGTATCATCCCGTGCTGTTCTCCTGGCAGCAGCAGGCTCTGTTGGAGAGCTCTTGTATCTCACCATATCATGTGGAATAGAGGATTTGTTTGTGATCTGGATCCTTGGCTTCAGAGCCTCTGGCTTTTATCCTCCCGGTTCAGGGAAGCCCTATGCTAGAGCTTTCCATGAAGTTTGCTAACGGTGCTCCACTTCTGATCAGAACAGTTGTGCAAACTGCGAAGCAGTGCAAGAGGAATGAGTGTGTCCCCTGCAGTATTGGGAGTTACTGCAGCCCAGCGCCTGAGGGTTCCTGGGGCCGGGATGGTCCGTGGGAGGGGTGGTACCTGGAGGGAAGGGCTGACCGAGCGTGCGCCATGTTTTCCCTTACAGACTTGAAGGCTGATGAGAAGAGTATGTGCACCCTGCCTGAAGCTACGGGCTCTGCCCCTCAGGAAATAGATCCTTCTAAGGAGAACCAGTTGCTCTTCACCTATTCTGTCCACTGGGAGGTAAGGCAGTAACGGGACGCTGGCTGACAGTTAGCACTCCGAGTGCCTGTCATAGAAGCGTTATGGAAGACATTGAGAATGTGCTGGTATGAGAAGAACTTCCCTGTTCTTTCAGGAAAGTGACATTAAATGGGCCTCCCGCTGGGACACCTACCTGACCATGAGCGATGTGCAGATCCATTGGTTTTCCATCATTAACTCGGTTGTGGTCGTCTTTTTCCTTTCAGGTGAGTGAGACGTGTGGGGTGGAGGTGGCTTTGCCGTTAATCTGCAGGGAACTTTAAGCCTCAGCTGCAGGTGGCTCGAGGAGGATGTGGCCGTGTCTGAACCCGATCAGAAGGGGCAGGAGATGAACATTAGCACGTAAAACCTCCCGGTTCAGGCAGCGCCTGTGGGGTCAGACAGTTACCCGCTTCTGCCGTCTGGCTGGGGTAGTTGAGGGAGTAGAATGTGGTTAATGTGCGTCTTGCGTGTCCGTATTTAGGGAAGAAAAGCCACAGGAAAGCCACAGTGCCCCGTTCCTGCTGGAATACTGCCTTCCCTACTCCCTGGGCTTTTGTTCCTGTCTTTGTTGAAGGCTAGGGGAGATGGCTAATGATTCAAAGTCCCCCTACTAGCCAGAACCGTGTGTTGGTGGGAGCCGTGTGAGAGCAGCTCAGCCACGTAGGAGCCTCTTTGTGCTTATTTTCAGGTATTCTGAGCATGATCATCATCCGGACTCTCCGGAAGGACATTGCTAACTACAACAAGGAAGATGACATTGTACGTGTTTGTTCTTGGGGCTGGGGTCAGTGGGGGAAGCACAGACGAGGAGGGATCTAGTCTGAAGACTCGGGTGTATTGTCTCTTTCCTTGCCCCTGTTTTGCTTCGAGCCCTGAGGATGGGAGGGGCAGTTCTGTCGTGTGCTGTCCCGACACCTTTGGTGCTCTGGGCACAATGGCAGGTCACTGGTTCAGATGTCCTCAGACCTAAGGATGGGCTGCAGACAGTTCCATAAATGTGTGTCCTGGCACTGGCAGTTGAGGTCTGAACTGGTTTAAGCCCAAGAGGAAAGAAGTTTAACTAGAGTGACTAAAGTCTGTAGGAGAACTGGATACTGGATACTTGTTAGGCTGGTGGTGGTAGGATGTGCATTTCCACCATTAGACCATGTCTAAACACCTTCTTTTCCTATTGCTGCAGGAAGATACTATGGAGGAATCTGGTTGGAAACTTGTGCATGGAGATGTCTTCAGGCCTCCTCAGTATCCTATGATCCTCAGCTCTCTCCTGGGTTCTGGAATTCAGCTCTTCTGTATGATCCTGATTGTCATCTGTAAGTGGCTCACGTTGCATGGGGTGGCTGCGAGAAGAGGAACAATGCTCAAGGGCATTTGTAGCTCCCGCTGACTTCAACCTCTGCTCACCTTCGCTTGAGTGAGGTCGCGTGAGGCTGCTTCCCGTTGCCTGTGCCCAGTGTTTCTCAGTTTCTGGATAGCATTTCCCAGCTGAAGGCATCTTTCTGTGTTTATGTTGCCTGTTATCAAGATAGGAGCCCTGGGGGATTGTGGGCCGAGACATTCGCACGCGTGTGCCTTGCCTTCTGAGCGGCACCTGCTCACCTCTTGGGGGAAACTGAGGCTAAAGCATGGTCTGTAGCTTGAGATCAAAGCTGTGGCTTCCTCTCTCTGGCCAGCGCTGGAGGCTGTGGATGTGTTGTGCTTTGAAGGAAATGAGGTCTGTGCAGAAGGCAGAGATCCCAGGCGGCTGTGGTTGCACGCAGGACGGGCCCTCTCTCCAGATGCTGCCTGGCACACGTACATCAGAGCTGCTGTTCTTTGTCCTTTTTTTCCCTCCGCAGTTGTTGCTATGCTGGGGATGCTGTCGCCTTCTAGCCGGGGTGCGTTGATGACTACTGCCTGCTTTCTCTTCATGTTCATGGGGTAGGTGTTCTCACAGCAGTGCTGTCCTGCCTGCCCCTCCTTTTCCTCTCCCCAGCAATGAAAGATAATTCTCTTTGTCTTGGCTTCTCTCTGTCCAGGGTTTTTGGTGGATTCTTTGCTGGCCGCTTATACCGGACTCTGAAAGGGCATCGATGGAAGAAGGGAGCCTTTTGTGTGAGTCTTGTGGTGTTCAGTGCCATTTATCCGGGTTTGCTGATGGCAAGATACGTGGACAAGCTCCATGCATGTTTGCGGGTAGCTGGGCACAGCCTGGCTGTGCTGCAGAGGTTTGGTGTGGACCAAGTGCTCATGGCTTTATGTGAAAGGGCGAGCAGCAGAGCATGTACTATATAGTAAAGCAAGAGGATTGTCCGAGATCCTCCTCGCAGCCCGTCTGCTGTGCGTTAGTGCTGTAATAAAAGGGATGTGTCCTCCACCCATGCCTCGTCCCAGCAGTGGACTCAAATATTAAAGAGAAACATTTGGCTGATGAGTCACGCGTTTTCTCTTAACCTGTGATTGCTCTTGCAGACAGCTACCCTGTATCCGGGTGTCGTCTTTGGTATCTGCTTTGTCCTGAACTGTTTCATCTGGGGGAAACACTCCTCTGGAGCGGTAGGTACCACCTTCATCCTGGAGCCTGACAGAGTGGGAGGAGGGCGGCTGGGCTGTCGGGGACTCGCTTGGTTTCACAGCAGCTTTCTCGGTGTGGGTGCTGATGCAGTGGGTGACTGGGGGGTTGGTCTGGCCGGTGACTTCAGTCTCCAGGGGAGGTGAGCCGTCAGCGCCCTTGGTCTACCTGGGTTACTACTTTGGATTTCGCAAGCAGCCCTATGACAATCCCGTACGGACCAATCAGATTCCCAGACAGATCCCGGAGCAGAGGTGGTACATGAATAAATTTGTCGGGTGAGTGATGGAAATACGGTGAGTTAAGCCCCCTCCCCTCAGTCCCCTTGGGTGGCTGAACATCACCTTCTGCGGGGCTCCGGACACAGGCAGATGGCAGCCGTGTTTCCTTGAGTAACGCGATGCCAGAGACAATCTTGGCAGTTTTGATGTGGTATGACGGGCGCTTGTAAAAGCGGTGCGTGCTCAGCAGCGGGGGGAGCTGTGAAATCTGTTCTAGGAATCCGGAGCTGTAGAGCGCTTGCTAGGAGCGCTCCGTGTGGTTACAGGGGACTTCTAACGGCCCGACAGTTGTATTGTGCTGCTTATGATTTTTCTTTCTCGCTCTGTAGGATTCTCATGGCTGGTATTCTGCCTTTTGGAGCTATGTTCATTGAACTGTTCTTCATTTTCAGCGTAAGCATTTAACCCACTTTGCTCCTGAATAGGATTGCTCTCGTGCCAAAGCTTTTGAAAGGGAGGGGGCTTCCACCGGAGCAGTCTCCTATTCCTGTACTTACCGAAGGGGGCTCGCGGGTTCCCTCCGTGCCGTTCAGTATTGCTTCCAGAGACACCTGGGCTGTGGGTTAATTCTGCTGCAGACACCTGGAGATGCCTCTGGGATGCTCCTTGGTGATTTGAAGGATGCTGGTAGAGGTGAAAGCTCACTGTTATGTCAAGGGCAGTCCTGGTCTTGAGACATTGACGGATCCATCCCAGCCACTGCCCTTCTTTCACCTTCTATGGACGGGGAGGAATTTGCTGTTCCGTTGTTAGGGAGATGGAGGGGAATGAATGAGCTACCTCAGAGCTGTCTTTGAGCACCTTTTTGCAACCTGATTGCTCTGAAGTAGCACTGTGAAATGCATTAGAGCTGTGGTTTCATCTGCGTAAGTCTGAGGGGCTCCTCAGTTTTCTTTGGGTTAGCTGCTAGAAGTTAGTCTCACGTTTGCTGATTGATGACAGTAGCATGGAAACAAACTTTTGCTGTGTCTTTGTTTCAGGCAATCTGGGAGAACCAGTTCTATTACCTTTTCGGCTTTCTCTTCCTGGTGTTTATAATCCTGGTGGTGTCGTGCTCCCAAATCAGCATTGTCATGGTGTACTTCCAGCTTTGTGCTGAGGTGAGATTTCTGCATTTGCCATTTTGGTAGCTCAGGGTACTTGCTCCAGGAAAAGCACAGGTCGCCTTACTGCTGCTGCTCAGCAGAAATCTCGCGTGGCCCAGCTTCATGAGCGTGACTGCTCGTAACACCTCTTGACTTCAAGGAGAATTGAAGCTGCTAGTGGTGGGATGGCACGGTTAGGGTAACGGTTGGACTTGATGATCTTAAAGGGCTTTTCCAACCTAAACGATTCTGTGATTCTATACTTGATTATCTGCTGGGCTGGGAGCTGTGGTTTCACACGAAAAATTATGCTGGGAGCAAGGTATTTTGAGCTGACGTCTCTTCCCAAAGAAACAATTTCATTCCATCCACCTACAGAATGAAAGGCAGGGCCCGAGGTGAGCCATGCTCTTCGGTAGCAGGTGCTGGGATACTGACCTGGCTTTGCTTCCCTGTCAGCTTTTCATCCTCTTTGTTCGGAAACACTTCCCTGACAAAATAGTTCCCTGGCCCCACACTGTGGTTTTCCTTTGAAGGAAAACGGGGGATGTTCTCCCTGGCCCAGAAAGGCCCCGGCTCCCCCGAGACAGTGACACAGGAAAAGGAAGCCTGTGGGATAATGCGGCTTTTTACCCTGTCAGGATTACCGCTGGTGGTGGAGGACCTTCTTGGTGTCCGGAGGATCTGCCTTCTATGTGCTGATCTACGCCATCTTCTACTTTGTGAACAAGGTATTGTTATCCCTCTTGTGTGGAAGTGCCACCTTGTTGGATTTGGGGAGGGAAACGGCGGGACTGCCTCGTCCCAGCCTGCCCCCATGCCAGCCCAAGGCAGCTCACCGGCCAGCGGAGCTAACGGTCCTTCCATAGGGGAGAGAAGGCTCTGCGTGCCCGAGGCCCCTGCCCGCCTTACCTGTGCGGAGCGGTGTTCCCTAACCCCACCTCAAAGGGGATCTCTTCAGCCGGACAAAATGAACCACGTGGAGGGCGTCCTCCCTTTGCCAAATGCCCCTTGGAGAGCGCGCGGGCTGGTTTAGGGAGCTAATGCCTCTTACCTCGGTATTTGATTTTGCTTTTTTTTCCCCTCCTCTTCTGTTTTAGCTGGATATTGTTGAGTTCATTCCCTCCTTGCTATACTTTGGCTACACCGCCCTGATGGTCTTGTCCTTCTGGCTCCTCACTGGCACCATTGGCTTCTATGCAGCCTACATGTTTGTCCGGAAGATCTATGCCGCAGTGAAAATAGACTGAAGCTGCACGGACCCAGCAGCAAATAGACACCTCTGAATGCGTGTCCTCCTGGGAGCGAAGGGGACATCTTCTCCCAACTCTTCTAAGGAAAAAAAAAAATCCAGTGGGAGAGTGACAAGAGAAATAAATAACTCCTCGTTTAGGAATGTAACTTTGGCACAGTGTACATGGATTCTGGGCTACTTCTGGGGGGAAAAGGGGTCTGTAGATACCTTACATTTTAACTTTATTATCCTGGTCCATATTTGAGGGAGTTTTTTAGCAGAGAAATATCCCTCTGTATAAGTAAACCCCCTTTTTGCTAATTCATCCTTTTTTTTTTTTTTTTTTTTTATGTTGATGATGAATGGATTTGAGACAGCAGTGGAAACACTTGTGAAAACATTTTCTTCCAGCCCCTAGGGTGCTCTAGGATTCAGGGAGACTCTTCAGACAAATATCAGACTGGATTTCTTTCCTGCCTTCATGCCTGCACAGAAGAGGGAGCTTGACTATGGCAGAATGAAAGGAGCCTGCAGGCTCACCCAGCGCGAGTCTGGCGCGCTCTGGCCGCAGAAGTCCCGGCTTCGGCTTGTTTACAATTTGATGGAGGTGCCATTCGGAGCCTGGGAAGTGCAATTTCACCCTGAGAGAGCTTGAGAACTGCAACCCTCGGCGTCGCTTCTCCTTCCCTCCGGCTGCTTCGGATGCCTGCACTGGAAGGGCTGAGGGAGGGTGGGATTTCCTCTCTTTCGGAAGGCGCAGCCAGCTGCAGCGGGGCGTAACGTTCTGGTGGAAGCGACGTGGTTGTGCTGGTGCTGGAATGCAGGACTGGACGGATGCATGAGGTAACGACAAGGGGTTGTTCCGTCCGTAGCTGCGCTCCAGACGCGTGAGGAAACGGGGCAGGCGTCCTTGCCGGGAGCCCCGCTGGGGTTGCGCAGAGCCCTGCCGAGAGAAGGCTGCGACGCCGCTGCGTTAGTGCCAAGCCACCCGATGCAGCCTTGGGCCTGAGCTGCCGCCAGGCGTGCGCAGGCCGTGCAGGGGGGGCTGGGGGCGGAGGGAGCAGCCCCGGGTTCTCCCGCGGCCGGGAGCGGCTGCCTCTGACCTGCCCTGAGCTCCAGCTGCTCTTGCTGCTCTCTTCTCCTCCTCTTAGATTCTCTACCTCCAGGGAACAGAAAAGGCGTGTGCCCCGAAGCTGTATTTTGTTCTTCTCCACAAAACGGTCCAAGCCCTCCGGGATAGCCGACATGGGCTCCTCTGCAGCGGGCTCCTCTTTTTCTGTGGCTTGATGCCTGAATCAGCCCATGGGAAGCTCTTTTTGAAAAGAGGTTAAAGTTTTGGGGTTTGGTTGGGGTTTTTTTTGTGTTTTTTTTTTTTTCTAATTTTGATCACGTCAATGTTTACCAGTAAAAAGGTTCCACATTAGCGTGAAGGCTCCCTCCATCCCCAGCCTAGCTGGATTCGGTCAGGGCTACAGGGGAGAGGTTTTTTGGTGAGATCTGTGATGATTTTGCTTTTGCTTCTTCCTGTCACAAGCAGTCAGGTCTCCAGATGACCAGCTGCCCGAGCTGACACCGCTCCAACCCAGAACTGCCCAAAGCCCTCCCTGTTACCAGCACTGACGCGCACCCTGGAGGGGGTTGGGCCTTTTTTTAACCCCAGTTGCCATAAGTTTCCACCAGGTCCGCGTGGGGACCCGTGTCTCTTGCCAACGGCCTTGCCCCTGCGGGCAGCTGGCGTCCCAGGCGGTTTGACTCCTCGGCGCTGAGTCCTAACGGCTCCTTCAGCCGCCCGTCCTGCCAAAGTCTAATCCGCCAGGAATCGAGGATGGAAAAAGGGAGCGGGGGATGCGCGAGCCGACTGTGCTGTGGAGTCCCGCGTCGGTTCTGATTCGAGATCCCTCTCTGAGATTTTGGGTTGGTTTTTTTCTTTCTTTCTTTTCTGCCCCTGCTCCAGTGGAGAGGCTCAGCCAGCGTTGATTTCTCTCCCTTCCCTGAAGTGTTTTCTCTGTATTCTTTGTAATTTTTAATTATTGTATGTATTCTTTGTGTCCAATTGTAAATAAATCTGCCATTGTCCTGTTGTCCCGCTCTCCTGGATTCCCCTGAGCCACCTCTGGGGATTTTCCTTTCATAGCACTTAGCCTGTTCGACACCTGCCTGGTCTTTGCTGTGTGGCTTCAATCCGAAGAAGAGCTGCAGCAGGTTTCTTTGTAATACTCTTCTCCTGGTAAGCCTGGCTGAGCAGGGGATTTCTCCATGTGGCACGTCCTGCACGCTGCCGTCTATCGTGCTTAAAACGCCACTGGTCAAGGCATTTGGATCTGTTCCTCGCTGTTGGGCTCTCGCGTGCTGCGTGGTAAGACCGCCCCAGCAGCTCGGCTCCCGTGTGTGAAGTGCGGTGTTTGACTTGCGCAGCGGGGGTGGCTGGGGCCGCGGGGCCCTGGGGTGGCAGACGGGCTGGCAGCGGTGGTGCCTTAGAGCAGCAGAGGTGAGAGCACAGTTAAGGAGGGAGCTGCCGTGGTGTTTTGGAGGCGTTTTGGTGCCATGGGAGCCGGGCCGGCGGCAGTGGCTTCCAGCCTGATGTCTTTCCCAGTGCTTGTGTGGTTTTGCTGGGGCTGTACGTGGCAGGAGAGCAGCAAGTGGCTGTTAAAGACTCCAACCGAGGGAGGGACGGTGAATTCACTTCTCCGGTGATGTTTTGCCAAGCAGGGCAATGGATGCACAAAGCTGTGGCTGGG